CTGTGGAAACAGCTGCTGAGACTTGCAGTTATTTGCGTTCTGTTAAACTCCTTTTCCTTTTGGCTCCTCAGCTGTTAACTGAGAAGCTCACAGAAGATCTGAGGCTATTTAATCAAACAGCTGCCAAAGAAACAGAGGAGCTGCAGGTAAGACTGGCTTTGTTTCCGACTCAACCAGGTAACGAGCACCTGGTGCCGAGTGAGATTCCAAAGGTTATTTTGCTCTTCCCAGTGCCGCTGTTCTCCAGATGAACTGGACAGCGACAGCCCGCAGGAGTACTCGCCTGTTGGTACCTGTGCTTTAAGGAAAACTACATGTTACTGCCCTTCTGAATCGAGGGCTCAAAGGAAAGCCTGTGGCGGGGCATTGCTGATTCTCCTCTCGGTCCTTGCCAGCTGAACTGTGTACAATCGAAACAAGGTGGAGGCGATGCTCAGGCCGGAGAGCTTTCAAGTTAGACTGACTCCGTTCCAGAGTAGACAGATGTCAGTGCTGGGAACGGAGCTGTCTCTGCCTAGACCAGCTCCTCTCTGGAGCATTTTCGAGTCACCGGTGGTTGTAAGCGCTGCTGGCAGAGCACTGACCCACCGGTCCGGCTGTTACACTGGGATTGAGGAGATTTGATGAAACTTGGAGGCCGTTGCAGACTAGTGACCTCGGGTAGTGTCTCTGGGAACTAAGAAGTGTGCAAGCACAAGCAGCTTCAATAATATTGTCTATATGCTGATTGAAATAGTCTTTAAATTACAGCACTCTAATTCTCTGTAAGAAGCAAATTAATGCAATGGCTATTCTATAAGACTTCCTAAATTTTGGTCACAGACAAATTGCCATTTTCCTCAAGGAACCAAGGTAAAAGACATCCCAGTCAAGGTAGACTCATCGTAGTTTAGCAGATAAGACCCCGCTGAAGAGTTCAAGTGCTTTAGTTGGAGCTGCTTTAGAACTTGCCTTTGCTCTTCAGTACTTTGGTGTTAGTAAAACGTCGTGTACCCTGACATCGCTGAACGTCCTGTACCCTGACTTCTCCACACAGGCAGCGATGGCCAAGTGGAAGTCGGCTGAGGAAGAGAGACACCGCCAGTCCCTGGAGAAGCATTCCTCCTGCCAAGCAGAAATGAAGGAATGCTCAGCAATACTGGATGAGTTGGAGCTGCTCCTGGGCATGTGAGGCACAAGGATGGACTGGACTGTCTTTTTCTTTTTTGGGGGGGAGGGGATATTTTTACCTCTAGTTCAGTGCTCTCTACTTCCCAACCCTTACATTCGGTGGCCTAAAGTGGCAAGCGGGTCCCTGCTCGCTCCGGTGCGACGGCGGAGCAGGGGGGATGGCGGGGGGAGCGCAGCGAGGCCTGGTGCCTCTGTCTCAAGCACTCGGTGCTCTTCCCGCACCTGCCGGGGCCTTCCCCGGCCTC